TCATTTTGGTGGCTCGTTCACCCAGAGCATCCGGAGCTCTGTACCGTGGAGCCTAGCAACCTCCATGAGACCGTCTGTGTTGTCTGTCTGTAACCGCAACTCAAGCAAGTTTTCCAGCCTGCACCACTGCCATCTCGGTGTAAGTAAACAATCTTTAAAACTACCGCTAAGCGTTTGTGCCTAATTCCAGCTCGACGGCCTTCCCTCTCCGGCTCGGTGTGCCCGGGCTGCTGGCCACAGCCCGCGTGCAGCACGGAAAAGGGCTCGGGTCGCTCCCGGCCCGCACAGTTGATATTTTTTTCTGGTCAACTGACAGTATATCAGCAGTTTAGAAATCTTTCAAAAACACACATCAGGTCAAATAGCTTCTAAATGCAACCTCTGTTGGATTAGTAATGAAAGAGCCTTAGCTGGCCGATCATGTGCATAAAGCAGAGTTCAGGAGGCATTATACAAAGCAAGCTGAAATCTTACTTTCACAGTTCCCTGAATCTAATGCAGCTTTATTTTTAGGGCTGGCTTAAGTGTTTTATCTAATTGATACTGGGCTGCAGGGCAAAAAAAGCATGGGCACAGAGTAGCAAAGCATATTCTGGCTGTACCCTTTTTTCTCCACTACAACAGCAGCAGTGAGAGGTAACATTTCCATGGGCCTATTATAATAAGCTACATTATAATAAGATTGCTTTTATAGGTTACACTAGCAGTGAAACAGAACTGCTATACTGCATGAGAAAATCTGGCTCTATCTTTTCACGTTAAAAATGGAATAAACTACAGGAACAACAAATCCGCCATCTGTGCAGGGGTTGGACTAGATGACTACTGAGGTCCCTTCCTATCACTGTGAATCAGACTAGGAACCTTAGACTTGATCTTCTAATTGGTAAGGAAATCATCTATTTTTGCTGGTATGGTAACTTGCTGGTATGGTAACACTGTAAATGAAATTTCCAGGTTATATTCTAAGAAAATCATTCAGATTTATGGGATATTTTATAATAGAAGTGGGGGGAAAAGGATAAAAAATTAGGATTTGAATTTACGAAATCTTTTATGCCAATACATGCCCTCAAAGACATTTTCAGAGGCAAATGTCAGTTAAGTACTTAACTCCACTGACTAGTGACCATTTATGGCTTTTCAAACCCACCTCCCATCCTGAATATTACTTTTTCAAGTGAGGAACTCCAGAGTAGCAGGCTGTGCAATAACAAGAAGAGTTCTGCTGGATTATTTCTTTCATTTCCAAGCCCCTTCCAGGAGTTATTCCAAAATGCCTGTAGAAATTCAACTCTGCTAGAAAAAGATGATCACAGACTGAAAAATTTCCTTTGTTCCTGGCCCAGCTGTTCTACCTGATGGAAATCAGTTATATCAGAAGACAGAATACTCTCTCTTAATTATCCATCTTAGCTGATAAGGCTAGTGGATTCATCCAGTTATTAAGCAATAAGCAGACATACCCTATCACCAATGAAACTATACGATGAACAGGCTTAAGCCTCCAAGACTGTGATGGAATAACCTATTTCTGAGAATAGATCATATGTGCGCTACTCCAACCACTGAAACAGAAATAAGGGACACACTAACCATACAAAAGAAATGACCAAAGGATATAAAATATTCAAACCAGACTCCAATATGAACTAGGACACATGGCTGGCTTTACAGAATCTATCCTTGGCCCTCTATTCTGTGGGTAAAAAACACCACAGAATTAAATCACTTCCAGGAAGCCAGAGTGTGGCCCACGCAAGTAGAGGCTGCTATGCGTGCTTCAAATCCTAAAGGGCTGTGAGGCCTCCAGCACTATTAAGTCTCTGTTACTCCAGCCTGGAGTCTATTCCCAACCAAACACACTTAATGGCACGATCGTTAATGTACTCAACTGTGACCACTTACATTCTGAAATGGACCCAAACTAGTATCCTGTAAGCAAGTTTCATTTGTTATGAGTTTACACTACTTTTATAAAGGAGTGTCTATTCAATGCATTAGCCATAATAACAATTGTACCAAATTCTCATTAACTCTGTTCCACAGATTCAGATTTTGGCAAGGTTCGTGTAATGGATTTACACAAGTTGAAAATGAACCTTATGTAAAACTATTCACATTTGCAGCATTTAACTTGCATAACAACACGCACAATATGTACAGTGTTCATTCAGCATACACAGTGTGAATTAAAAGATGTACTAAAAAAAACTACTTGCATGTCAAACTCTCTCTTAATTGTTCTGAACAGGTGCCTGTAGACATGTTGCAAGGCTGCTCTGATGTGCTGTAATTACAGCATGTTGGAGCAGACTTGATTAATTGAGTCTGCTGGAGTGTGGTAATTGCCACGCTCCAGTCAGCCTCTGAGGCTTATGCATCAGTGTCCCTGCACTTCAAAATGGCAGTGGGGGTACTTGAACTAAAGCCTGTTTGATGACCTTTAGTTCAAGTGCCCCACCATCATTTTGAAGCACGGGGACACTGATACACAAGACGCTGCAGCACTATAATTAGAGCAGCTCTCAGAGCTACTCTAAAGTGCCCTCCCCTGCAGCATGTGTAAAAGTGCCCTAAGATTTCCTAGTACTTACTTAATTCCCCCCCCTGAATTATTGGAGCTACCTTATACAAACATAAAAACGCGGATAAATATTGTTGATCCACTTATTTCTGTTCTCTGATAAGCAGCACTTATAATCCTCACTTGCTTGTTTTCCAAAATATGCACACATGCAGAATATGAATGAGAAAAATCAATCCTGAGTTCCTATTCATGTTTATCTTTCACCCCCACCCCCAACTATTTAGAGTAAGAATATCAGAACAAACTGCTTGGCACCCACCCATCACATACAGTGCAAGTCTATTAGTTTCTATGACAACCTGATCTGAAAAAAAAAAACTTACTAGCAAGCCAACTATATCATAAAAATGAAATTCTGAAAATAACAGTCTCTCGAAGGCCACTGGCAGATGTTACAGTAGTTGCATGATTGGGGCCCATTCCCCAAACTGCATGACCTGCTATGCCACATGTGCATGGCAGGCCACTCAATTCTGGCAATGGGGCATAGAATTCCTCAAACCTCAAATGCACAACTGCCAGCGCTTGGGGTGGAGAGGAAGCACCTGCAGTTTGGGAGTGGTAAGCTCCCTCCTCCTCAGCTGCACCCCACCTGTGCATGTGGAAGTGGCAGCCTCCAGGTCCCTACCTGCTAGGCACGGGTTCTAGGAGTGCCCAGGATCGCAAAACAAGCAAGCATGCAGCTGAAGCTCCCAACTGCACTTGCGCTTTCTAAAGGTCCGGAGAGCTGTGAGCCAAACATTAAGGAGCCTTTCCCTGACGTCAGTCACTGCCCTGGACCTTTAAAAAGCAGGTGGGCAGCAGCTGAACACCTGCCCACTTGAAGCTCCCTGGGTGCTGGTAAGCACATCATTAGGGAGCCTCCCTGATATCAGCCTCATGGTTTCCCCCAGAGCCGCTAGGGATCAGGGAGTTCATACGAACAGGCATCCATACAAACACCAAGGGATGGGAAAGCTCCCTCATCCCCAGTTAATCTACTCGCCCATTTAAAGAGCCACCTGGTGCTAGCAGCTGGGGATGAGGAAGCTTTCCTATTCCTCTTTAAACCAGCACATGCAGCTAAAGATGGGCGGAGCTCCCCCATTCACAGCTGTGTGCCTGGCATCCTCCATGGACAGAGCAGAGGGCAGCTAGGTTCAAAACCTGTAAGCTGCCTCTAGCTTGATCCTGCCAGTTGGGCAGGGGGCAGCTTTGACTCAAAGCCCAGGGTTACTCAGTCCTCTCTCCTGACACTCAGCTGAGCATCAGGATTCAGGACTGGGAAGCCACAGTCCTGGTTCAATCCCCTGTCCAATCCTCAGGATAAGGCAAGGAAGGGCTGTGCGCCAGACCCCAGAGATGCCCCATACCGGGGACCAGCATCCTTAAAGAGCCTTTTAAGATGCCGGGTTCAGGTGAGTCTACACCCTGATATGGACAGTCAGCAATTGTCTCCATCAGGACCCAGGCAACTTTTAGCCAGGCTTCAGATGCAGAAGTGCCCAGATCCCGATGCTGACAATCAGCTATCGACCTCAGGATGATAAGGCATGTCACACATTCAACGTACGGTGTCATAGAAAACCAGCCACAAAGATACTCCCCTTTTCGGAGTAATATCTTTGTGACTGGTTTGCCATTTTATAGCAGCAGAAATCTGATGAATATTGTGCCATAAATAGCAGCATGTCACCATTAACACAATAACTGTGGTAGAAATAACATGCCCAAAAACCAGAAAATGTCTAGCTGTGTTCTGACCCTCCTTCCATTAAAAGCGAGACAAATTTGGCCATTTACTTAAATGGAAATGGGAAAACACTTGTCAGGAAATGAAAAGTAAAAGACACTGTTTTCTGATACTGAGATGACACTGACCACCACACTATTTAAACAGGTGGGATGCAGGGGTGGAGTCTGAAGACTCATCCTATATAAAGGGCTGCTCCCTACTTAGAATTTCAAGCAGGCCTAAGCAATTTTAGCAGTTCAATTATTTAGCAGTGTGACATTTAATAATATCTTAGTACAACAGAACCTGGATACCACTCAGATCAGTTGCTAATCCCCGCGACATATTTGAGGGTTTGTGAAATAAATTGTGAAACTGAGGGATTGTGAAGCAGACAGCTTTCTGAGACTTCTGAAATGCTCCAGCAACTGGCTGCAGGTTATTTTAAATGGCACTGCTTCTCTGGTGAGTTGTGTGGGACTACTACTAAGCTGCAGCTGAATGGAGAAGCGGTGCCCTTGAAGCAAAAACCAAGCAAACAGCAGAGCAGCTTGTCCTTAATTTGGCCACCAGCTACAAATTAAGTGGACTGTAAACCACCCAAATATAAATAATCCAATTCTTCTGTGCATGCACCAGTTCAGACAAGATGAAATACTCATTGTACATCATGCTAAACTGCATATAGACTTTTACCTTTGTAAAAGAGTACCACTATCTTCTGAAAGGCTTTCATGAAATGGATGTTGTCATAACAGTATTCCTGAACCTTCTGGAGAAGAATGAGTTCTGACTGGCCTTGAGTGCTGAACACAGCAAGCAGGGGTGCATATTGCTGAAAAAGAAGCAAGCACAAGGGAAAATGCTAAACTTTTATACAAAAGAACTTGGGTCATTATGCATGTGTAATGACTTTTGCTTTTGTGAAGAACAGGTTTTTTTTAACAGAAAATTAATATAATAGACTGACAAAGAAACAACAGTTGATTTAATTCCCTTTAATGTAATACTTAAAGACAAAGAAAGTAGCAATTGCTTGTACAGAGCTAGAGACTCCATTTTGTTATGCAAACATTCCTTTTCTCTGATCCCCCATTCTCTCAGTTAATTGCATTCCCTTTTTCCTTCTTAATCACCATGTTTACCCTTCTTTCTCCATTTCCTCTCCCCTCATTTGAGGGGGACACCGAAGTGTATTTGAACCTGTATAAAAAATACTGGGACCACTTACAAGCTCAAGCATTTGTTTTAAATTTAAGTGGTGTTCTGGATTGGGGCATGGATATGCAGCACCTAGCAGTTCAGGGCCCTACATGAAACAAGTTCCTTTGGTCTACAACCATTTCAGAGCTATTGCTTGTATGTCATTACATAAATTAAAAAAAAAAAAAAAAAAAAAACAGAAGTAAAAATTGTAATGACTTGAAAATTTGGTTCAGTGTTTCTTTCACAAAACTGATTCATCAGTCATCTACTGCAGGGAAGAGAGAAGAAGTAATGCAGTAAGCACAGTAAGAGCTGGGTGATAGTACTTTAAGGTTCTTTCCAAGTATTTTTTTAAAAGATTTGATGGGCTCTCTCTCACCCTGTAATGATACAAAAACAACTCTCAGGACTTGGTTAATGGAAGCAAATAAAATATTTGTTTTCTCCCTGGAGCACTCTCAAGCTTTCAGTAACAGGTCAGGTATCAACTGCGTCACGTGAGGCACTCGAATCCTTCCCTCACTGACCATTCAGAAACTCCCTACATTTAATCAGGCACAGATGTTGAAGGACAACACTACATTTAAAATTATTAAATAGATAAAATAAGCAACACATTAAAAAAGTCAGGTAAAATCCAACATCATCCAAAGATGAAGTGTCTCTTGCTGATATGTAAATACTAGGGAATGTATTTAGTTTGAAATGGCTCTTTTCTCATTAAAAGGGATTCCTTGATCCTGTCAGCACCATCAATTTTATTTTTTCTCTTACGCAGTGACTGACACAGATTTATGGTTTCAGTTCTCAGAAGTCACTTAGGAGCTTGAAGCAAAATGACTTTTAAACAGGTCTATGACACTTATTTTTAAAGGGAAGTTAGGAACCTGTCTTCTGGAATCTGGGCTTTAAACAACTAAGTTTGAAAATATTGCCTCATCTTTTTAATTAAAAAAACTCAGGCAAGAAACAATCATATTATCTGACATTCTATTTGAGGCACTGCCTCACATAGCTCAGCAAAACTAACTCTGCATAAGACACAAGGATTATTCACTTCTACCTGTTGAAAAGTTACACTGAAAAGGAAGATAGTAAAAGTATTGTGTCCTGCTGCAGTTCAAATGTTTTATTTGGTTTGGAAGTACTTTATTAAATGCGAGTTACCAACAGGTTGGTATGACATCTGACTAGTCTTTTGAGTCAAGAAAGTAGGTTTAGATGCATGCACCACACACAAATCTCTCAAGGGGCAAATAATGTTACTTATGGGGAAAGTTCCACTGAATCAATGAAACTATTCATATGTAAATATTACTTATATGAATAATATTTGTAAGACTGGGCTCCAAGAAAGCAAATCTAACTCATGATATATTGACTATGAATTTCTCTCTTGCAAATCTTAGTATTCTGAAAGTTGCTCACTGACAAACATGGATTGCAGTCCTAAATAATACAAACCTAAATGTCTAAAAGAGCTAGAAATAGTTTAAAGAATGATGCTGTAGCTCTGGTGATCGAGAAATTGTGCAAGAGGTAAGAATGTCTTAGGGTGATATCTTTTATTGGGCCAACTATGTAGCTGGGATAAAGTTAGACAAGCTTTCAAATGCAAGACTGAGGAAGAATGTCTACATTCTATAGTCTATATTTGTGCTTGCAATTATTCTCTCCCAAGTACAGGACTTTGCACTTGTCCTTGCTGAATTTCGTCCAATTGTTTATGGAACATTTCTTCAGGCTATCCAGGTCATTCTGGATCCTAGCCCTACCCTCTAGAGCATCAGCAACCCTAAACAATTTAGATCATCCACAAATTTACGTGCATACGCAATCGCATCATCCACATCACTTGTGAAGATATTAAGACAATAACAGAACCAGACAGCCTTTGGAGAACCCTACTCAATACTGCCTCCCCAAGTAGGCATTGTACCACTGATGACTATTTGTTGAGCATGAAGATCCAAACTTATAGAGCAGAAGAAAGTACTGTATTTCATTAGCTTGTTAACGATAAAGTTGTGGGAGATGGCACCAAAAGCTTTGCTGAAGACAAGGTATATCACATTCACTGCTCCTCCCCCATCCGCAGAGTCTGTCATTTATCGTACAAGGAAATCAGGTTGGTCGGGTATGACTTGCTTTTGGTGAATTCATGCTGGCTTTTCCTGATCACCTTGTTCACCTCTAGGTACTTCACAGTGGATTCCTGCTCCATGATCTTTTCAGGTATTGTCAGGCTGACTAATCTGAAATTCCTTGGATCCTCCTTCTCTTTCTTAAGGAAAAAAAAAGCACTATATTTGTCCTTTTTCAGTCATCCAGGACTTCACCTGATCTCCACAAGTTCTCAAAGAGGACAGCCAATGGTTCAGAAATTACCTCAGCCAATTCCTTCAGTACCATGGGGTGCATCCCATCTGACTCTGCTAACTTAGAAAGCTTCTAGCTTACCTAGCTTCCCCAACCTGTTCTGCCACTACTCTAGGCTCTTTGTCTCTTTCCCCATCTGTGCTACCAATTACTTTTGTCATCTGGTAGATGCCCCTATTTGTGAAGGCTAAAGTACAAAGGCATTAAATACCTCAGCCTTTTCTGAATCATCTGTAACTTGATTGCCTTCTCCATTCCTCAAGGGACCAATGGTTTCTTTGATCTTCCTCTTACCATTGATATGCTTGTGGAATCCCATTTTTTGGCCTCATGTCCCATGCCAGGTACACCTCAAGTTGTGCCTTGGCTTTACTAATTTTTCTCCCTGCATGCCCGTATGAGACTCTCATACTCTTCCCTAGTAAAATGACCAAGTTACTACTTTTTGTGGGATTCCTTTTTGAGTTAACTCATTGAAGAGATTGCTGTCTAGCTAGGCTGGCCTCTTGTACTTCCCATTCTTCCATTGCATTAGGATAGCTTACTCCTGTACCCTTAAAAGGCCTCCTTAAAATTCTCAAGTTCTCCTGGATTCCCCCCACCCACGCATACTTGCCTCCGAGCGGATCCTTCTCATCAGTTCCCTGTGGTATGCTAGGGTCTGCTTCTCTGAAGTCCAGGGTCTTTATTCAGCTGCTCTCCTTCCTGCCTCCCCTTAGGATTTTGAATTCTATCATTTCATGTTCACTGTCATCCAAGTTACTTTTCACCGTCACAGTTTCAACCCTGTCTGTGAGCAGCAAGTCAAAAAGATCTTCTCCTCTAGTTGGCCTCTACCACCTGTATCAAAATTATCTTCAATACACTCCAAGAATTTGCTGGACTGCCAATGCACTGATGTGTTCCCTTCCCAGCAGGCATCCCGATAATAAAAGTCCCCCATGAAAAAATCAGGTCCTTCAATTTGGAAACACCCATCAGTTATTTAAAGAAGGTCTCCTCCATCTCTTCCTCCTGGTTTGGTGGCATATAGCAGACATCTACCATGACATCCCCCCTACTGCTCTCCCATCTGAATTTTACCTAAATGCTTTCAACAGGTTGACCTTCCACTTCATACTGCACCTCAGAATGTATGTACATCTCCTTCATATACAGGACAACACCTCTTTTTTTCCCCTGTTTATCCTTCCTGAAAAAACTTAGACCCATCCATAACAATAATCTTCTCACAATGTCTCTGTAACCCCATTTACATGGTAGGATAATTTACACAATTCCCTCATTTGTAACTAGGACCTCCAATTCTTGCTTTTTAGACCCCATACTTCACACATTAGTTTTTAACATCTTGGATATCTAACTGATTAATGTGGAAGTGCCCGTGCCTATCCCATGAGGCGCATCTTAATGCTTCCATGGGGCCTTTCACAGTCTTGGTTCTTTTGCAAGTGGACAGCTTGCTTCCAGTTATACCTGGAACTAGGGTAAGGGCAACCACTCGCGCCTGCCACTACTTGCTCTTCTATGCACTTTGGAAGGAGGTCTTATTCTCTGTGGGTGCTGTCCTTAGCCAGCCCTGGCGCTGTCTTCTGGTGCTTTGCCTCCCCTACACCCCACCTTACGCCAACCTCGTAAGATCTCCAACAGATGTTATGAGCACACAGGCTATGCTTGCATATCCTGCCTTCTGAGGTAAATAATGTATATGAAACAAAGCAATATGGAACTCAGAATATCACTCCGGGACTTAGCTGTTCTTTATAGTTCTTTAGCCTCGCAAAAACCCCTTTGTATTTTAGGGTTCATCTGTAGTAACTGTCCCCTGTAGGCCACTTCGGTTCACTATACTTACAGTTCTTCTCTCTTCTCTCCTAGGTTTAGCATCCTAAGTCAAGTCCCAATCTTTCATCCCCGATGGTCAGGACCAAGCTAAGGGTAAGTCATTTGGCTCCTCCAAGCCACTTCGGTGGGTTTGCCGCCAGCTGGCTGCCTTCTACCATTTGGACCTTGCTTCCAGTCCTCCCATCTCTCTGAGTTGGGCTCCTTTTAATCCCAGTGTGGGGTTCTGGCCCTTTAAGTGTCAGCAGCATGCGCTTATAAAGCGTGACCACGCTGGTGCTGGTGTTTCCCTGGTGCTTGCTGTTTCTCCTAGCACTGCTTTCCACTGCTGCTCCGCCACCTCTCCTATGATTTAAGAGCTTCATACTTATTTTTAAGTATTTTTATACTGTCTTTCTTCCATGATGCTGGAGGTCTCTGTACATCAAGTTGATGAAGGTCTCATGCTTGCAGATGTTTCTGAGCTTATCTACCTCCTCCTGCAGTTCCCTTACCTGATTCCTGAGAGAATCCAGCAGAAAGCACCTTGTGCAGCCCAAGCACTCCCACTACCTTGCTTTCCCTTGCAAGGATGTGCACACCCCAGTCCCTGCAAGGCTAGTCCATATCCTGGACAGAAGACTCGGTGGTCAGGGGCTATGCCTGGACAAAGCTCACAGATACAGGAAGAGGAAGAGCTGGTAGAAGCAAGGGATTTTGCACTGAAACATCTTTCATCCTATCAATTCTCCTGCTAGTTCCTCTTCCTGCTTTTCTGCTGCTTCTTCATAGAGCAATTCCCTATTCCTCCTTTGTCTGCTTCTACTCAGCAAGCTTATAATGAAGTAACAGTAAGAAAGTGGGTGGGCAAACTCCCCACCGAACTCCTACTCAAACTTCTCTATTTGCTGGCCTGTTCACTGGCCCCGGTGTCACTGGTTCCAGTCACAGAACACAACGCTATACTGAGGATTTTTTGGGAAATGGCTATATTTCCAGCTCAATACTATGAAGGAGTCTCACTCTCAGTTAGCAAGTCGTCAGTGGAATTATGGCTGACTAATTTGAGTGTCTCTTCTACAATTCTTCCAAATTCAATGGCAAGTACTAGCTATATCAAAGTGTCTTTGTTTTGTTTTTAAATCTCCTATATACTTTTTATTTCAGCATAGGTTTCTTGGAATCTTTTGAAGTGATCTAACATTCATTGATATCGCATTATTTTGGCATAAATACATTATTTTGTCACCATATGGTAGTACAGGACAATATTCCCCACGCATGGAAGATGATCTAGGATGTTATACAGTGTCACATTCAGACAAATTCTTCTAGATCAGTCCTTCTCAACCTTTTTAGATTCAAAGTACACCGGTCCCACCAGCTAGACTCAAGGCACTCTCTGAAAAATGTCAGCTCTTATTTTTCACTCATTTTTGACTATGAAAAAGTAATAGAGCAATTTTTCCGTTACAAAGCATTCAGAATGACTATATCAGATTGGAATACTTTTAACAAAGTGGATTCCTATTCAAAATACCTGAGTTCATCTTGTGAATCATGTATATACACCTAACAGTGCTAAGATTGTGTGGCACCTTGAGGCACCCTTAAAGGATCTCAAGCATCCCAGTGTGCCACAGCACCATGGTTGAGAATCACTGATCTAGGACTTAAACACGAAAAAGTTTGATATCTGTCAAATACCTACACGTTATACTTAACCCTCTTTTCTCCCTGCAAACATACCTTTAGATGTTTAAGTGCTTGTTCAGCAACCAGTTCTTCTTTCTTGTTCCATTCAACAGCATTCATTATACAGGTCCACAGGAGTCCAATCACTGCAGGCTCTGGCAGATCATTTCTCTTCATTTCCTCTTTCACGTAAAGCACTACCTGGAGGAGAAAGAAAATGCTGTCTCCTGCAACATTTCCAATCACCTAGAAACCATTCTGATGAAAAAGCATTTTGCAGTGCTTTACCAGTATTGCAATGATGTACAGACAAAGCAACAAGAAACAAAAAAACAGAAACATTGCAAAAGGAAGATTTGTCAGATGCTGTTTTAGCCATGTCACTTGGTTACAAAGAAATAGATCAGTTCCTATCTAAGTATACAATGTATGGATTCTAAATGAAATGGAATTTATACTGGAGCACTAAAGTATAATTAACTGCAATCAGATACAGAATGTTTCTCAATTTCTTTATAGTAACACATACTACACATTCATTTTTAAAGTCTTTAGTAAGGGAAACTAAAGCAATTTTAACAATTCTTTACAACATAGGACAAACCCCTATTTTGGGGAGGGGGGATGCAGATTGAAAATAATACTGAGAACACTAGAAAACCCTACTGATGTAAATATATTTTGCTATAGTAACTGTTCATTTAAGCCTGAATACAAAAGCAATAGCATGAACATGCAAGTAAAAGTTGGAAAAAACCTCTCCACCTCTTTAATTGCGCATTCCTGAGAAAGACGTTCTTGTAACTCTTTTTGAAGCTCTTTACGAGTTCCTAGTGACTGCTGGACTCTGAGGAAGTCCGAGAGCTCTTTTAGACCTGCATCAGTGAAGTACTTGGCAAAGTGTTCCACAGTCTGCCGGTTGGCTGGAAATAGTTCCTAGAAAACAGAGAAGGTATCTGTTAAGTAGATAATCAAGTATGTTTAAATGGCAAAAGAGAGGGGCAGAACTGGCTGAAAATGCACACCAAGGACTCAACTTGAAGATGAAATAATGTTACTGGTAACATGCTTCAAAGAAAATTAATGTTTACATTAACGCTGAAAAAAAATCCATACTGAAATATTATATTGGCCTGCGTTTAGAGATCATTGAACACAGCGGGGAAAAACTAGTTCACGTTTTTTTAAAAGAAAAGCAAAAAACGACCAGTTGATTACTGTTAAACACATAAATATTGTTAAATAAATGAAAATGCCTTCATCTTCAAGCATTTCAAAACAAAATTCTCAAGTAGCCTTACACAGATGGAAAAAGAAACCTCTTTCTTTCTTTGTTCTTGAAGAGTTGGTACAAATGTACAGACAGTAAAGGCATCATGCAAACATAAGTTAAAAGACCTCAATGCATTTCTTCATATTTACATTTTGAAAGAATTTACTTACCATATACTGCACGAAGGCTTATTTCTGAATACTAAATAAATGCAAAGTTATTTAGCACAAGCTTAGAATAAGACTTATCCAAAAAAGTAAACCATTAGTAATAGTTAATTCACA